CAGATTTTTCAAAAAAGTGAGCCGCTTTTTCGAAAGAGAGACCAGATGCTCTCTTTCAAAATAGCACAGGTTTGCATTCAATAGTGCCTTTGTTCGAAAGAATGCTTTCGAAAAAAGGCGTTATTCCTTGTAAAATGAGGTTTACCACGATCGAAAAAATTGCCGCATTCTTTTGATTTACTTTCAAAAGAACATGGCTGCAGTCTAGACCCAGGTGAAGTTTTTTTTTTCTTCGAAAAAAGGCTACTTTTTTTAAAAAAAACCTGTAGTCTACACATACCCAGAGAGATGCAATTAAAGTTTTTTTTAAAGAGCTGCAGGTGGATCTTTTTCTTGATTTATTTTCAAATGAGGCTTTGGGCTGCTCCAGCAGGAACTGCTGTGCAAGAGTCATGTAGCCAGATGTCTTGTCCAGCACCAATGGAAGGTTTCCCTCCTTCCCCTGATGCTAAAATTATTTTGGCAAGCAGTTAAGATGTCTTGTCCAGCACCAACGCAAGGTTTCCCTCCTTTCCCCGATGCTAAAATTATTTTGGCAAGCAGTTTGTGTAATTCCATGTCTTCTATGGCTAAGCAAGGAGAGAGCCCACTTTGCAAGATTGGAAATGAGAGAGGCGGCCCAACATTTAATGCATTCCTATGCATCACCATTTGCCAGAGGTTTCCCGCACAGTCTTTCTTGCCAGAACAGAAAGCTAATAACCTTTCCAAACTAGGAGCTGCACTCTACAGGTATGTGAGGCATATGGCATGTTATCCTATTAGCAATGCAAATTTAATCAGCCATAATAATCAAATAATGTTACTCATCAAGAATCAACAGCCTACAAGGAATTGATTTGCTCAAGTTCTCGTCACTTTTCCTGATTTGACAAATATAAAGAAGAGCTTTGATTAAAACTTAAGTCTCCTTAAAATATAGATTTCTCTTTCAATGAAAATAATTAAGGTGTTCTAGAAAAATCTGTTACTCTTCAGTGATCATTTCCTGTAAGAACTGCTTCTTACATCTTATGACTTTGACTTTTATTTTCCAGTTAAAAAAACCAAAGAACTGAACAGTCTGTACCTCAGGTAGGGACATGACAGAATTTAGCATGAGCTGCACAATCTCACATTTTTAATTTTATTGCTGTCCTGATTTAAGTTAATTGCATGATGATGCTTAACTGTTTCTAGACTCTTGCTAATTGATTCATATGCTGGGTGTTTAGTATTATATCTTCAAGCACCCAACAGGTTTATAGACTGCCCTGCAATTAGAGCAATTAGAGTTTTCCATTCGCTGGCAATTCCAAAAAGTTTTTTTTTTAAAGTTGTGTCAAAAAAGTTGCTGTCTTTCAATGACAATGATATACTTAATTTTGTTTTTGAGAACTTTTTTACCTTTTAAAATGAAATGTCTCAACACATTTAAAAAAAAAGTCAGAATGTTTCCGTTCTAATTTTTTTTTACTGAAACAATGCCACAAATTCATCATGGATTTGTGAAAAGTTTGTGTCTCAGATTCTGCAGTTTTTGCTCGGGTTGCAGAAAGGTTCAAACAGGAATTTTTTTCTGCTCAGCTCTAATAACAATCTTTATTTTATCAATAAGTTTTCCCATATGTCCCGTAATCCTTAACTACTTAATCATCTGAGTACTCCTGTAAGAGGTGAGAAATTATGCCATTTAATGAATGGGGAAACTGAGGCAGAGAGTCAAGTACCCAGAGGGCACCACCGTTAGAGCCCAGATTAGAATTAAGGGTACGTCTACACAGCAGGGCTAAAGTTGAAGTAAGCTATGCAACTTCAGCCATGGCAATGGCGTAGCTTAAGTCAAAATAGTTTAATTCGGCTTTTGGTGCTGTCTACACAGTAGGACATTGAAGAAAGAACATTCTTCCTTCGACTTCCCTTACTCCTAATGAAATGAGGGTTACCATCAGTCGGAGTAAGAAGTCCTCCTGCTTGACATTATATCAAAATAAAGGCATGTCGTGTAGATATGCACTGTTATTTTGGAATAACATCCGTTAGTCTGAAACATCACAGCTGTGTAGACGTACCCTCAGAGTCCTGAGGCCAAGCTAGTGATTCATATTATATTCTCACACATCTAAATTAGGTAAATATTCGAATAATTTCCAGAGAATGACTCTCGTTTCCTTATCTCCCACTTGAGTGAAGTCTTGTCTGAATCGTGCTCAGGGTAAACATAAGACAGCTACAAAATGAGGGAGAAATGTTCAAGGCAGAGATTGTCTTCTCAGGGACCTAGAATCCCAGAGTGTTAGAAATATTGAGAATCGTTATTATCAGGGCTCGCCAAGCTGCAGCGAGCCCCACATGCCAGCCGCGCAGTTTAGCACACTGCGCATGCGCAGACCGTGCTGCGGTGCCGACGCAGTTTAGCACACTGCACATGCGCAGACCGTGCTGCGGTGCCGTGCCAGGCTATAATCTACGTACCCGTGGTGAATAGATTACCTAAATTGTCGAGCCTGGTTATTATTAATGAATGCCATAACTCCGCATTGCACTCCAAAGGCCTAAACCATGGCAAAGGTCACTGTCCTGACTCAGGTTGTTATGCTCGGAGGTTCAGTCAGATTCTGCACTGAGAACTACACAGATGATGGACCCGGTGAAGTGAGTTGGACTCTGCACATAGGTCAGGACTGGAGCCTAATCATGTAAAACATTTTGCTTTCCGCAGACATGAAATGCTAATGCCTTCCTTGTGTAAATAGGGGAGAGTTGGAAGAAGGCCTGAAACTTCCTTAGGAACCTGCCCCTTTCAAACCAAACTCCTCTGTGAAGTGTTTAAGAGGCAGATGTGTCTCCAAAGCTTGTCCCACGCTGACATACCACACTGGCCATCTGCGCCTGGAACACCTCTTTGCTCAGATGTGAAACGAGAGCGTGATTTCAATTCATTTCCTGGTTCGCTTGCGGCATCTACATTAGTCCGTCTGACAGACCATTTAATTCAAAAGAGGCTACAAGAGTAGGCAGACCAGTGACTCTCTGCCTCTTCCGGAGAGAGATCCTGCAGATGGAGTTGGTGGTGAGGGATATTTTCTGAACACTTCACGTCTGTGGATAATTAGCTCTGGTTAACATGGGAGGCCAGTCCCACCAGTGTCTGACACAACATTAAAACCGTCCTGCATCCAACCATGTATAATGCCAGTGGATCTAAGTCGGTTGTAGGTGGGATTGAACCTGCAACCTTAGGGGCTGCAGACTCTACCCCATTAGCAAAAGCCAACAGCCCCTCAACTAAGGTGTCAGTGCCTCTGGGTTACACATAAGCCAGCCCAAGTGCTTGTGACTGCTCTTCACGTTCACTGCTTTGTGGTGCATTCATTTCCATGTCTCCTGAAAAGCAAGGAGTCTTGTTCCATAGTGTGATGCCCTGAGAAGAGAGCATGATGGGACCCCCAGATCAAGAGCAGAAGAGCCCTGAGTTCACAGGCTTATTTTTAAAAATTGCTTTCAAAGGATATCAAGTCACATGCTCAGGGGACTGGCACACTGTGTTTGCTGGGACTAAAGCTTTGAGCCGTGATGGCTGACCGAGCAGAGCAGAGCAGAGCAGGTATAAATGCATTAAAACAGTTATGGGAAAAAGTCTGTTTTGCATTATTTTTTAAACCCCCAAAGAGCAGCAGAATATACTGAGCTAAGCTCTGAAATACTGCAGGCATACTAACTGAATCTAAAGCTTCAGGGGCTAGCCGAGTTAGTCTGTAACAGGAAAAATGTAAAAAACAACAAATAGACTAGTAGCACCTTAAAGACTAACGAAACATGAAGATAGTATCATGAGCTTTCATGGGCGAAGTGGGTTGTGCCCATGAAAGCGCATGATACCATCTGCATGTTTCGTTAGTCTTTAAAGTGCTACTAGACTACGTGTTGTTTTTTACGTTTTAACGGAATCTAGTAAACTCCACGCTAGTGTGCTGGGAACAGAACGCCTGGGGTCTAATCCCAGCTCACATGAAAATTCCGTGTGGGGCTGTAGGCAAGGCATTTGACCTTCTGTGCCTCATTTTCCCCAACTCTGAAATGGAACTAGTGCTATCTGCCATCTAACATGCAGGAAC